GGGAGGGATCAGAGCTGCAACGCTTCTGCCTTGAGCAAAAATCTCCTCTTGGGGCTTGGAAGCGGGGCTTGGATGCTGCTCGGAGGGTCCTGCCCTTGGTTTCCTGTGGGATGCTTCCCAAAGGCAGAACGTCTCCCAAAGGACTGGCTCTGCCAGGGCGATCCCTCTCCCACTGCAGAGGCTCTCCTGACCATGGGAAGCAGCAGGTAGGGCCTGGAAGGTGTTTTTCCCATGGTTTGGGCTCATGGGATGTGCACCCCGGGCTCCTTCCCCTCGGCTGGGCGGGACAGGGGAAAACGGGAGAGATGATTTTTCCTTCCCTCTCCTCTCCTTCCCGGCCTCGCTGCTTCCTGGGTGACCTTGGATCTGTCCCTTCTCCTCCCTGCTCCAGTCTCCCCCTCTGCACAGAACAGCCTGGCCTTGGGGGCAGGATTTCCCTGGCTCTGGGTGTGGGGAGCTGCAAATCGATGCTCGGATCTCCCAGCCCGATCCTGAGGGAGGATTTCCACCTCCTGAAATTCCTCTGTGCCTCTGCCACCTCTCCCTTCCCCGCTCTGTGACCTTGATGGGGTGAGCAGGACCTTCCTGGGCCTGGTGAGCTGGATCCTTCACCAGGAGCTTCGTCAGGAGCATCTTCCCCTCTCCTTCAGGGGGATTTGAGTGGAAGCTCTGCAGCAGCTGAAGGGGGGTTGATGCTGGGACAGGGAGGGACAGCAGAGAGTCCCCAAGGCTTTAAATATTCATTTTGAACTCACCCAATCCCACTTTGTGGTTTTTACCTGTCTCAGTTTCCCTTTATAGACCCAAACAGGTGTAAATGTAGAATTTGGGCCCAGGGGAGGAGAAATCTCCCCCTGTCCCATCCTTTGGACCCAGACTGTGTTGGCAGCTGTGAATCCCCCTCTCCCCCCTGCCTGTCTCTGCCCTCCCAGGCCCAGCTGGAAGCTTTGCTGAGCTGGTTCCAGCCTCTTCGTGGCTCCCCAGCCCCGAGGAACCTCGGCTGGGCTCAGCAGGACACATCCCAACATCCCTCCCCCACACCCTGGGGTGCTGCTGCAGGGCCGTGGTGTCCTCGGCTCCTGGGGGTCTGCACTCATCCCAAACAGCAGCTTTGCCCTAGTCCATGTTTTTGGGATCAGTGGGAGCCTCTGGGCAGGGATTAAACCCTCTGGGTGTAGCAAAGCAGGAGCTTCTTCAGCCCTGTGTGGGGTGAATCCAGCCCGTTCCATGGCCATGGATCTGCTGCAGTGAGGGCTCAATCCCAAGGGATACAGTCCTTGTGGACCCACCTGGACAGGGGACAGGGATGGGGAAATGTCACCTGGACAGGGGACAGGGATGGGGAAATGTCACCTGGACAGGGGACAGGGATGGGGAAATGTCACCTGGACAGGGGACAGGGATGGGGAGTGTCACTTTGTGCAAGCTGGAGCCCCAGGCTTGGCTCTGGGATCAGGGCTTAGGGAATGGTTGCTTTGCAAGGGGTTGGACATGAAGGAATCCCCTGGGCCCAGGAAAGTGGGACATGGAGCATGAGGAGGGGAGTTGTCCCCAGGGAGAGCCCCAGTGTCTCCCCGTGTAGCTCCCATGGGATGTGTTGGCTGCACTCAGAGACACCAGAACCAACCCCAGCACACAAACTGGTCCTTCCCCCGCTCCTGCTGTGGGAAAATCCATGTTCCCTCTCCAGCTGCGTGGCAGCAGCTCTGGTTTTACCTGGGCAGAGCTGTGGGTGCAAAGGCAACCCTGGCCTGGCAGCACAAGTGAGGTTCCTGCTCTGGAAGACCCTCATCTGTCTTCTCCAGAGAGAGAAAAAAGGCACATTTAAGAAAATTAAGGTCACGAGGACTAAGTAAACAAGCTGAATCTCCATCTGTCAGTGACAAGGGTTTTCTCTCTCTCTCCAGCCCGGAAAGCTCCTGGTTGTCAGCTGATCTGCCTTGTCTTTCTCACAGGGTGGTTGTTATTTTTGGCGGATGAATTTTTGATTAAATTCCCTTTTCAATCAAAGAAATGCATGGAAATACCTCTCTCAGATGGATTTGGACTGTGCTTTTCAATTTGAGGGGTGGGGACCTTGGAGCTGATAGGACATGCTGGGGAAAGGAATAGGAAGGGCCCTGCTGGCCTTGCTTTCCCTGGACAGTGTCCCTGTGCCGGGGGGTTGGCGGTTCCAGGCTGGTTCTGGCTGGGATCATCCCACGGTTCCAGCAGGAATGGGGATGGCAAAGGCTGGGTGAGCTCACGGCATCGCTGTCGGGAAGGATCCTCTCTCCTTCAGGCCTTGGCAACACCTTCATCCCCAGGCTGGGGCTGAGCCACGGGGAGACAGCAGGATGTTCCCAAGAAAGCCATGGGGACACTGCCAGAGCCATTCCAGGAGCAGGGTTTGGATCTCTGCCATAGTTTCCCCCTCTAGTTCAATTTGGGTGCCTCTCCCGTGGGGAGGAAGACTCGTCCCCTGCTTCTTCACCCTCATCCCAGTGTCTGGAGAACCCTTGGCCCAGCTGAACCCCTCTGACGCCCCAGATCCTTTGGGAATGTTGCTGTCTGGAGTGTCCTCTGAGAGCCCTTGGGTATTGGAGGTGCTGCAAGGACCTTGCTCTTCCAGGACCTGCTGCCTCTCAGCCCCTCAGAATAACTCTGGGGGGACCTAAACTGAGGTTGAGACCCAGGGTGGGATGTTTTGGGGTCTGTCCTGGCCCAGCACCCCCTTCCCTGGAGCTGGGCACCTCCAAGGAGCTGAGCTGTCCCAGGAGAGCCTTTGGGGATGCCCTGACCGTGGGACACTCTGCTCCAGGGGCTCAGCCAGCTCCTCGTTGGCCACCTTGGCTCTGTCCCTGGAACAAAGGGATCCTTCCTCCCCAGGCTGAGCCCTCCCGATGCTCCCGAGGAGCTGAAGCAGCTGCTGAGCAGACGAGGAGCAGCAAACAGCCCGTGGGGGATTCACCCAGGTCTGCACAAACCCTCACACAGCCCGATCCAAACCCGACGGAAATCCCGGCGATTTCCTGACCCTTCCCCTCCCTCCCCGCCCCGGGAGATGCTCCAGCCCCGGGCAGCCACGTGCCCGTGATTGCCACGATCGAGCCGCGAGCGGGCTCTGTGAATGAGCCTTCGTTAGGAAATCAAACAGCGCCGGCCCGGCCCTGAAAGGACAATTTAAACGGATAATTTAAATGGATAATTTAAACGGATAATTCAAACGGCTTCTCCGGAGGAGCCGGATCCGGGAAAGATGCGGGGCCCAGACGGTTGCCTGGCAACAGATGCAGCCGACAGCCGAAAATAGATTTTTTTTTTTTTTGTAAAAGGAACAAGGCCTGGCAAAGGGGGAACTTTCTTCAGGGGTGAAAAAGCACCGAGGTGAAGGCGAGGGAGGGGGAAGTTTCCTGCTGCTGCTGCTCTGCCCCATCTGGGGACGTCAGTGCCCTGGTGGGGAAGGGGCTCTGCTGCTGTGAAAAGGGTTGGGATTGGGGGCTAGATTGGATCAAAAATGTTTTTCCAAAGGCGAGAAGAGCTGGGAAAGGCTCTGAAAAATCATGGAGGCAGATGGGACAGTAGGAGGCCCACCCTGCATTATCCATCCTCCATCCCGGTACGGACCAGGGTCGGTTTTCCCAAGGCCGAGGGAGTGTTTGGGCAATGTCACCTGTGAGAGGCCACCGGGGCCTTGGACGAGCTTGGAGCTGACTGAGGAAGCCCCCAGGCTGGGGGAATGGTGCTGCAGCCGGGCCAGAGTGGGATCATTCCCTGGGTGTGGCCCCAGAGCTCTGCCAGGACCCAGCAACCAGCCGTGTGTCCCCTGGGAAACAGGGATGGAGAGGATGGAAAAGAAGGAAGCCTGGCTCTTCAGGAGAGTCATTTTTGCAAGATGAGGGGTTTGTTGTGGGGTGTCTGTATTTTCTCCCCACTTGGTGAAGCACCACAGTCCCAGCTGGGTTGGGAGCTGCCAGTCCCACCCCAGTTCTCCCAGTATGGAGAGGAGGGACGTGGTGCTTTCCCAGGCTGGGGACCCCCAGAGCAGCAGAGCACATTCCCACAGTGTTCCTGAGATATTCGAGGTGGGAGAGAGACCTGCAGGGCTGAGCCAGGTTGTGGAGATGCCTCCGTGCAGGATCATTCCTCCTGGCCCAGGCTGGAAGCTGGGAAGCAGGAGGGGCTGGGATTGATGGCTTGACCTTGGCTGCTGTTCTCCACTGTAAAGCTGCCTGGGAAGATTTAACATCAGGCTCCAGGGATTTTATGTCACTCCTGATAATGTCCCGGGATGGAGAGATATCCTGGGTGTTTGTCACTGTCCCCTGAAAGCTTCCAAGTTGTCGTGGAGCTTGAGGGGAGGCCAGGAGGGGAGGGAGCAGGACAGGAGGGCAGGGCCTTGGGCAGAGCTGGAGTTGGTGTCAGATTTTGTGGGGTTCAGCTGCTGCCTGGGGGTGTTGGAGGGGCAAGAGGTGTTACAGTGATGTGAGCAGCTCCATCACTTGTCCCTGTCCTCTGGAGCCCAGGGAAATTCCCTGCTGGGGGTCACAGGAGGCCCTTCTCCATGAATGAGAGAGTGGCTGCCCCATCCCTGGAAGTGTCCAAGGCCAGCTTGGATGGGGCTTGGAGCAACCTGGGCTAGTGAAAGGTGTCCCTGCCCATGGCAGGGGGTGGGACTGGATGAGATTTAAGGTCCCTTCCAACCCAAACCATCCTGGGACTCTACAATGCTCCACTGGGGAGTTGCTCCTGGTCCATCCTTCATGGAGAAGGGGACGCTCCTGGGTCAGCTGAAGGTCCCCAAGGATGGGATGATGGAAACCCTTCTCCCCCAGTGCTGCCGGTCCCATCAGAGGACAAAACAAACCCAACCCCCTCCACTGACCCCTTCCCCCCCCAGGTCCTGCTGATGACGAGGAGGTGAGGCCTGAGCTGTAGCTCACACCGGTGCCGTTCCCCGCGGGACGTTCATCTCCTTCCCTCGCCCCATCCCACCCCCGGGGCCCCCCGGAGCCGTCCCGATGCCCAAGAACAGCAAGGTGACGCAGCGGGAGCACAGCAGCGAACATGTCACCGAGTCGGTGGCCGACCTGCTGGCCCACCAGGAGCCCGTGGACTACAAACGCAGCGTCCTCAACGTGACGGGAGGGGAGGCCTGGGACAAGCAGAAGGAGGGGGAGGAGGACCTGGATGCGGAGAGGCCGGCCTGGAACAGCAAACTCCAGTATATCCTCGCCCAGATCGGCTACTCCGTGGGGCTGGGCAACGTCTGGCGCTTCCCCTACCTCTGCCAGAAGAATGGAGGAGGTGAGACCCGGGGCAGGGGTGGGATCAGCCCTTGGAGAGGGGGATATGGCCCAGTTCTGCCCCGCCGCACATCGGGGTGTGGATGCTGGGGCAGGACAGAGGTTATTTGGGCTCTAAAGTGGGTTATGTGGGCTCTGAAGGTGGAAAGGGGCAGCCAGGAGTTGTGCTGAGTTGTTGGAATCTCCTGGACAGCCTCTTCCTAAAGGTTGTCCACCTGCCCACTCCAAAGTCGAGGTGAATCCCAGGGCAGGACCCAGGATTTCTTGCTGCAGCTCCTGATTCCTGCTGGGGCAATTTTGTAAACTAGGGGGAAAATGGGAAGAGAGAATCCCTCCATTTCCCTGGGTCCTGAAGCCACATTGTCCAGACTCCAGTCCTTTCCCAAATCCTCCTTCCAGCAGTCTGTTCTCTCTTCCTCCCCGTGCCTCCTCCTTGGGCTCCCAGGAGCAGCCCAGAGGACCAGGCCTCGTCCAGCTGTGCTGAGACCCCCCACCCTTCATGACACTGACTGGGGGGGTCCCTCGTCATTAACCCAAACCCGGCCCCTTCCCAGCAGTGCTGCAGGGGGCTAGACCAGCCCAGTGCTCCCGTCTCCCCCCGAGCATTCCGTGTTCCCAGCATTGCATCCCTTGTGCCCCCAGCCCCACAGCTGGAAAAGCTGCAGCGCCCTCAATAACTAAAACATCTCCAGTCGTCATTAGGATGAGTCATCCTGCCAAACGTGCAGCCAGCACTCCTTTCCCTTTCCCTTTCCCTTTCCCTTTCCCTTTCCCTTTCCCTTTCCCTTTCCCTTTCCCTTTCCCTTTCCCTTTCCCTTTCCCTTTCCCTTTCCTTTTTCCCTTTCCCTTTCCCTTTCCCTTTCCCCCTTTCCCTTTCCCTTTCCCTTTCCCTTTCCCTTTCCCTTTCCCTTTCCCTTTCCCTTTCTTTAGCCCAGGTGGCCTCATCTCTCTGTCCCATGGGGCACACGCTGATTTTCTGCCTTTTCTTCCCCCCTTGGCTGGGATTCCCCCTGGGCTGTGGCGTGGTGCCAGCCACAGGACGCAGGAGGTCGGGAGGGATGGACAGAGCATTCCCGGCCGTGCTGAGCAGCCCCGGGATGTGGTGGTGGCTGCTGCTCCTCTCCTGCTCCCCGAGCAGGTGCCTGCGGGGGATGACGGCTGTGCCGGGAGCAGGATGGGCTGGAGCCAAATTCCCAGCACTCGGTGTGCCAGGAGCTGGCACGGGCCGGCCCTGGTGCTGCTGAGCGTGGTGATGTACAGGCTTGAGCTGGTGCCCAGCTTCCCAGACATCACAGCAAGAAAATCTCCAGCACTGGACACATTTCCACGTGAACGTGTCCGTCTGTCTCAGGCCGGGATGCCCGGGAGGGCGTCGCAGAGATGGGACGCTCGTGGTCCTTCCCGAATTCCACCAGCTCCAGCTCTGCTCCCTGCCTCTCCTTTCCCCCTCCCAGTCACCCGGAGCTGCTGCACCTCAGTTTTGCTCCCCCTGCATTTCTAACACACGATCCCAACCTCTGGATTTGCAGAGCCCCTGCTCAGAGCAGCCTCAGCTGCTCCAGGTCCCGGCCGGGGCCGTGGGGTGGTGGTGGCTGTCACCGAGGTGTCAATCCAGCCGGGAATTTTCGCTGCCGGCAGCCGGAGGCAGCCACGTGCTCCCGAGCCCATCCCCGCTCCTGGCAGGAGGCTGGAGTCGTTCATCAGCTGCAGCGTTGAGTCATCGCATCCTTTACGGTCACTTGGCCCCGGGAGCCCCCGGTTCCTCTCCAGCCTCAGCAATCAGACAGAGATTAACTGACTTCTTCCTCTCAGCTGGGCCTCCCCCGCCAGAGGATTTTGCTCTGCCCCAGCTGGCAGTGGGGTGGTGGGTGCTGCTGTTTGGGATGTGTTGGACAGATGAGCACAGGCAGGACCCGGGGAACAGGAGGGTCCTGCCTCCCTCTGTGCCCGAGATGGCTGGGAATGTGGCCGTGTCCTCATGGATTGGCTCCTGGAGGGGTGTCCTTGCACATGGGGTGTCTATGGACGCAGAGGGTCTTTGTGTGCTTTGGGGTCAATCCCACATGTCCCCACAGTGGCAGGGGGTGTTGCACCCTTTCCTTCCACACGTATGTTTGCTCCTCTCCACAAGCTTCTCTGCTGGCCAGGCTCTCATCTTCATTCCCAGATCATGGAATCATCTAGGTTGGAAAAGCCCTCTAAGACCACCAAGCCAAACCCAGCACTGCCATCCTCACTACTACCCCGTGTCCCCAAGTGTCACATCCACACACCTTTTAAACCCCTCTAGGGATGGTGACTCCACTTCTGCCCTGGGCAGCTGTGCCAGGGCCTGACCACCCTTTCCATGGAGAAATTGTCCCTGATATCCAATCTAAACCTTCCCTGGTGCAACGTGAGGCCATTTGCAAAGGAGCTGATGGACCAGGCAGAGCCTGTCCCTGCCTGTCCACCCCTGTTCCATGTCCTTGGGAACAGAGAGAGGGGTCCATGACGACCTTTCTCACCCCCTCCAGGCGCTTACTTGGTCCCATACCTGGTCCTGCTCATCATCATCGGGCTCCCCCTGTTCTTCCTGGAGCTGGCTGTGGGGCAGCGGATCCGCAGGGGCAGCATTGGAGTCTGGAATTACATCTGTCCCCGCCTGGGGGGCATTGGCTACGCCAGCTGCCTCGTGAGTGTGCCCTGGGGAGCCCCCAGACCCCACCTCGGGTTGGGTGGGGTGGAACCAAACCCCGGGGGCCCCATGGGGAGGTTTGAGAGGTCAAGGGGTGTATTTCCAGCTCCACTCATGGGCTGGTTTGGGGATGGGCCCATCCCCTGATCCCTGCACCCCACTCTCTGCCCAGCAGGGAGGTGGGGACAGTGACACTGCCCTGTGATTTGAGGCACAGTGACACTGCCCTGTGATTTGAGGCCGTGTCCTCTCTCCCTCCTCCCCCCAGGTGTGTTTTTTCGTCGGTCTCTATTACAACGTCATCATCGGCTGGAGCATCTTCTACTTCTTCAAGTCCTTCCAGTACCCTCTGCCCTGGAGCGAGTGTCCCCTGGTGAAGAACGGCTCGGTGGCCAGTAAGGAACAGCCCTGGGGCCAGGGGGGGCTCAGCTGGGAGGGAGCAGCTCCCAGGGAAGGGGGCTGGGGGGCACTGGAGACCCCCAACACCTGTAGCTGTCACAGGTTGAGGTGTCTCCTGAGTCCTCTCTGCTTGCCCTGAGCACATGGAGAGCTCTCCCTTGCTGACGAGGCTGTTGGAAGATATTAATTATGGGCTCTTGATGAATGAGGTTGGATGAGGGTCTTCCACACTCTCTGACCCCACTAGTGGGATATGGTGCCAGTTTGGGAATTCACAGTGTGGATTTTCAGGCTTCCTCAGTACTTGAGGCCGGGATCTGATCCAGGACCTGGCTGTTCCATTGGTGCCTGACCGAGACACTGATGGAGCTAATGGTGTTTAATATCATCTGAGCACCTCCTTGGGACACTCTGAGGGGATTTATAGCAAATAAAAATGTCTCTCCCTGTATTTAATATCTAATTTTCACCTGGTAATGGTTTTATGTTCTGTCTCTTATTTTTCCTGCTGAAAACAAACCCCATTAATTCCTGCCTCTTAGCTTCCAGAGGTACCTCCCTTCCCTGGCCTGCTCCAGTGGGTTTTTCACAGTAGAGGCAGTGGGTGACTGTCCCCCAGCCCCCTCACGTTCTCCTGTCCCTGCTCTGTTGCAGTTGTGGAGACAGAATGTGAGAGGAGCTCGGCCACCACCTACTTCTGGTACCGGGAGACCCTGGACATCTCCAACTCCATCTCGGAGAGCGGGGGGCTCAACTGGAAGATGACCCTGTGCCTGTTGGTGGCCTGGAGCCTTGTTGGCTTGGCCATGATCAAAGGCATCCAGTCCTCCGGGAAGGTGGGTACTGGTGGCCCCCTGAGCCTGGCTGGGCTCTGTGCTCAGGGCAGGAGCCTCCCACCTCAGGGTCACTCTCCTTTGACTGGGATGTCAAACGTCTCCTTTGATGTTTGGTTTCAAGTGCTTCAGGTGCTCTGGAAGTGGGAGGTGGCCAGGGGAGGATGGAGACCCTTCCTCCTGGTCTGGGGGAGCTGAGGGGTGCTGTGACCCTTGGGATGCTCACACCCACTCCACAGTCGGGGCCATCTCTGAGGGGGTCCAGAATAAGATCAAAAGAGAGTGTAAGGAAGACATTTAGTCCAACCTGCAGCCAGGGATCAGCCAGGGCAGCAAATCCACCTGAGCTCCAGCACTGGGAACATCCTGCTCCAAGGGGTCCCATGGCTGCCTGAGGAACAAACCTCACCCTGGGGTGGGAAACCCCCTGGGTGGGAAACCCCCCCTCTCCCCAGTTGGCTGCCCGTGGGTTGGACGGGGAGGTGGCTGGGTGGGAAACGAGGCTGTGCCCGTGTTGGATCCCTCTCTCTCCAGGTGATGTACTTCAGCTCCCTCTTCCCGTACCTGGTGCTGGTTTGCTTCTTGGTGCGGGGACTTCTCCTGCGTGGGGCAGTGGATGGGATCATGCACATGTTCACACCCAAGGTGAGAGCCCCCAAACCCTAAACAGGTTCTCTTCCTGGCTGGTCACACCCCGTTCTCCCTTAGTTTTCTTATTCCTCTTATTAGTTCCCTATATTTCCCTTATTTTCCTCCCCGCCCTAAAAACGAGGGTGCCAGCCCCAAACTACCTCGGGGATCCTGATAGGTCATCAGCACCCAAAGTTTAGGGTGTGGCCAGGACAGCCAAGAGCCTCACAAACTCACCCCTCAGCATCACCCTGTCCCCCCTCAGCTGCCCAGACACCAGGGTGGGGAGTGGGGGGGTGCCTGAGGCCAAATACAAATATAAAGACTCCATGGAACGACTCTGTCTGGCAGCAAAACCTCTGCTGGTGGTATGTGCCTATTAATTAAGCAGCTAATTAATTAATTAAGCAGAGATGTAGATGAATCAGCTCAGCCGACGAGGCTGTTGGAAGATATTAATTATGGGCTCTTGACGAATGACGCTGGGAGGCCTCCAGGCTGCAGCTCTGGCTCCTGGGAGAGGGGGGATGTGGTTGGGGGGGACTGGGAGTTAAAAACAACCCCCCCCCAGCCAGGATGTTGGATTTCCAGTGCTCCATGTGCTCTTGAAGGGGGAGGTGGCCAGGGAAGGATGGAGACACATCACTGGGTGGGTTGTGGCTCCCTGGGGTGGGGGAACATGGACACCCCTCCCCAGGGCAGCTGGGTCTCCCCTGGGAAGCTGCAGGGCTTTGCACTGGGAGATGGAGCACCCAGGTCAGGCCCTGAGGCAAGTGGAGCACCCAGAGGCAGGGTCAGCTCAAACCTCTGCCTGACCTCCCCACGCCTCTGTGGGAAAGAGAAGGACTTGTGAGTGCTGGGTGATGACCTGACCGTGGAAGTCCCAGAATGGTTTGGGTTGGAAGGGACCTTAAAGATCATCTCATTCCACCTCCCATCAAAATGCTCCCAAACCAGCCCAGTCTGGAGGCACAGCAGCCTTTTAGTGGAGCTCTGGCTCCACTGGGGTGAGCAGTGGGGTCACCAGACCACTGAACTTCTTCTCCTGTCTTCCTCCCAAGCTGGACAAGATGCTGGACCCCCAGGTGTGGCGGGAGGCGGCCACGCAGGTTTTCTTTGCCCTGGGCCTGGGCTTTGGGGGTGTCATCGCCTTCTCCAGCTACAACAAGCAGGACAACAACTGCCACTTCGACGCCACGCTCGTGTCCTTCATCAACTTCTTCACGTCCGTGCTGGCCACCCTGGTGGTGTTTGCTGTGCTGGGCTTCAAGGCCAACATCATGAACGAGAAATGTGTGGTGGAGTAAGAGCTGGGTTTGATTTGTTTGGGGTGGGCAGGTCTTTGCTGCTGCTGGTTGCGGTGGTTCTGGAGGCAACAGAGGAAGTGCTCTGGGGTTGGGTGATCCTGGGTTTTGGTGGACACAAGTTCCTGATGGCCAAGACTTGTATTTCTAGAGATGTCTCACTGAGGGAGTTGGGCATTCAGCTCTTCCAGCCTAAAATCCAGCTCTAAGATGGGCTCCTAGTCCGCAAATTGCAGGTAAATCCAACACATCTCACACCACCTGAGAGGTTCTGTTGTCCCTTAGGAATGCTGAGAAGATCCTGGGCTACCTGAACACCAATGTGCTGAGCCATGACCTCATCCCACCCCACGTGAACTTCTCCCACCTCACTGCCAAGGACTACAACGAGATGTACAGGGTGATCATGACGGTGAAAGAGGGGCACTTCAAGGAGCTGGGCTTGGACGCCTGCCTGCTGGAGGACGAGCTCAACAAGGTACCCGGTGGCACTCTCAGGAGCTCACCCACACCCATCGCCCCTCCCTGTGTCAATCCTGGGCACATGGATCTGGAAAAACTTCTTTTAGAGACCCTCCACGGCTGGGAATCCACGTCCTTGTGGTTTTACCCTCGTGGTCCCTCCTGGGGTCGGGGTAAGGTCTGTCCATGGCGAGTCTTGCAGGGTCATCACCAGCAGCAGACTGGGGTTTTCCTTCCTTGAGGACTGGTTCAGGGAGGGAGACCTGAGCCATTCAGGGCCTTGAAGTCTGTGTCCCTGACTTGTTTCTTCTCATCTGTCCGTCCTGTGTCCCCCTCAACAGTCGGTGCAAGGGACTGGCCTGGCCTTCATCACCTTCACTGAAGCCATGACCCACTTCCCGGCGTCGCCCTTCTGGTCTGTCATGTTCTTCCTGATGCTGATCAACCTGGGCCTGGGCAGCATGATCGGCACCATGTCGGGCATCACCACCCCCATCATCGACACCTTCAAGGTGCGCAAGGAGGTGTTCACAGGTGAGGTCCTTTCTCCTGCAACCTCCTGGGGAAGGGGTGGGGGGTCCCCGTCGCCCTGAGGAGACGTTCCAGGAGAGCGTGGACACAGTGGATGTGAACTGGGCCTTGCTAATGTAGGGAATGGGCCTTGGGGAGGCCCCGGTGTCCCTCAGGGGGGTTTGCTGATGACTCCAATGCAGGGAATGGACCTTGTGGTGGTCTTGGTTCTGCTCGGGGGGCTCTGCTGACCACCCCTATTTGCTCCCCCCAGTCGGTTGCTGCATCTTCGCCTTCCTGGTGGGGCTGATCTTTGTGCAGCGCTCTGGGAACTACTTTGTCACCATGTTTGATGATTACTCAGCCACGCTGCCTCTCACTGTCGTGGTGATCCTGGAGAACATTGCTGTGGCCTGGATTTATGGCACCAAAAAGTAAGGAACTCGTACAGCAAAAGGAATAACTGTGCTGTGACTCCTGGCTAAAAAAAAACCCCTTCCAGCTCTTTTCTATATGGCCTTTTCTCCAAGAGAAAAGCTCAGTTCACCTTGATCCTCCTGCCCTGCCCTGGTGTAACCCAGCCCCAGGAGCAGGTTCTTTTTGTGGGTATCTCCTGTTGGTTGTGGTGCCCTGTCCCCCGAGATCAGCCTTTGTTCTGAGGTTTCCATGTCCTTCTGGAAAGACACCTTGTTCCCCCCGGTGCTTCTTGTTGTTCCTAAGTTGGTCAGAGCAAAGGAGGCTCTGGATAATGCTCAAAAGGCCTTTTCCTCAGGAGTTTCCCACAAGTCCTACAGACTTGAGGAATATTGAGATGCTCCCCAGGACCAGCTGGGTTCTACTTCAGGCTCTGCCTTGAGCACAGTTTACAACAGGGGCTCCTGGGAGGGAGTTTGTCCCCTGGAGGTGGGGAGAACAGCAGGATTCCATCTCTTCCCTGGCAGGTTCATGCAGGAGCTGACGGAAATGCTGGGATTCCGGCCCTACCAGTTCTACTACTACACCTGGAAGTACGTGTCCCCCATCTGCATGGCCGTGCTCATGACCGCCAGCATCATCCAGCTGGGAGTCAGCCCCCCGGGGTACAGCGCCTGGATCAGGGAGGAGGTGAGCACAGCCCCCCTCCCCATCCCAGGGGTCCTGGCTGAGCAGGGGAGAGCTGCAACTACCCCGTTCCTCCCACCTCTGCTCCCCTCTCCCGGGTGACATCCCGCTCACCCTCTGCGTTTGTCCACCCGGCCCAGACGTCTCCACCCAGTTCTGACCATGGAATGGAGTTCCAGTGTGGATTGTGGTTGACCTCTGTGGGCAGTACCATGTCCTTCCCCTCGATTTGAACCCACTTTCTGCCAGCTCCAGGTGTCCCTGAGGATGGAGTCTTGCAGGAGGCAGCAGGGATTGTCTCACACTTCAGAGCCGTGGTACCTGGTGGGCATCACCTTTGCTGTGACAGCCCCGTGACATTAATATCTGTTCCTTCCAGGCTGCTGAGAAGTTCCTGTTCTACCCAGCCTGGGCCATGGCCATCCTCATCTCCCTGATCATCCTGGCATCCCTCCCTCTGCCCCTGGTCTTCATCCTCCGGCAGTTCCACCTCGTGTCCGACGGCTCCAACGCCCTCTCCGTCACCTACAAGAAGGGCCGGATGATGAAGGACATCTCCAACTTGGAAGACAACGACGAGACCCGTTTCATCCTGAGCAAAGTGCCCAGCGAGACCCCGTCCCCCATGCCCACCCACCGCTCCTACCTGGGGCCGGGCAGCAACTCCCCCCTGGAGATGAGCAGCGCTCCCAACGGACGGTACGGGAGCGGGTACCTCCTGGCCAGCACCCCCGAGTCCGAACTGTGATGGCCCCCCTGCCCGCCACCCCCGCCAGGAGAGGAGGGCACTGGGGAGTGGATCCTGGCCGTCCAGGCAACGGGAAAAATTCATTAATAAGGAAGACGAAGAAGAAACCCCCTCTTATAAAATCATAACCCAAAGCAGCCGTCTGTAAGGTGACACCGGGAAGGAGGGATTGAGGGAGGGGCAGGACTCCTCCGACAACCCTCGGCTGAAAGGCAGGACCCCCCCGGGACCGCCCCCGGGGAAGGGAGGAGGAGCAAGAGACGCTCCAACACCTTTCCGAGAGTCGTTCTCAAATCTGAAGCAAGGAATCTCTTTTCTAAGCAGCTGATGGTTGGAACAAGGACCCGGAGGCAGGTTGGGAAGCCAACCCCGCTCCCTCCTGTCGCCCAGCGCTCTTCCCTCCTGTCTTTGTCCCTTATCCGGGAGGAGTCATGGCCTTATTCCAACGAGCACAATTTAACCCTTGATGTTCAGAGCACAAAAAGGTGCTGTTGTTGTCACCATCGTTGTTGTTGTTGTATCTCCTGTAGGTTTTTATAGCTGTGGACACACCCAAATGACCCCCAAAATCCTGACCAGGGTTGGCAGGGAGCAGCACGGGGGTGGCTGGGACTGTGGATGGTGGATCCTTGGAATCTTTGTTGCCACCAGCATGGGAACAGTGGCTGGGGGTTGTTTGGAGGCATGGAGATGTCACGGCTGTGGGATGAAGTGGCAAGTTTTGTGTTGAGTGGCAGAAAGACTTTTGAAGGGACAGTGGTTTGGGTGTGTGAGCGTTGTGGGGTCTGGCTGGGGGAGAGGAGTCTCTCCGGAGTTACTCCTCACGTGTGGGATGTTCTGCTGAACCAAAATCCCTGGCATGGCGATCGTCTCCTCTTGCTCCTCTCTTCAGATGGCCCAGAGGGACACCCAGAGAAGCTGTGGGACATCCAGTCCTGTCACAGTCCTGGTTTAGCTCTCAGGAAACCACCCCCTGATTTACCTCCCGTGCCCCTCCAGCCAAGGGGAGCTGGGCAGTGACTCTCTCTGGACTTGCCTCCTCGTTTCTCCTCCTGTTCCCTTTGACTCCCCTTTGGGGGCCCTGTTGCACCCCCACAGGAGCTCACCAGCTTCTGGATGGGGGTGACCAGTTTTTGGGGACCACAGGCATCCGTGGAGCAGCAGCTGCTGGGAGTCCCAGGAGTGGGAGATCCCAGATCTCCTTGGCTCTTGATGAGGTTGGTGAGCCCCTGCCAGAGCCCAGGGGGCCATCCATGTCTTTTGGGGGATCAGATTGATGTGACTGCATGTTGTTTCTCCCCAGGTTGTTTGGGAAAGGGGGGGATCTCCCAGCTCTGAGTCTCTCCCACTGGGACTGGGGCTCATTTCCCTAAATGCCACAGGTAGCCAAGCACTTCTGCCAAGGGGCCCAGTACACCCTGGCACGTTCCCCCTTTCCCAGTGGGGACAGGGAAGCAGCAACCTGCCTGGGCTCTCTCTGCCTCTCAGCACTTTGCTGTGGCCTCCAAAAGCTGGGGGAGCACCTCATCCTTGGTCCTGCTGGGCTCGGGTCATGCACGAAGGTGTTTCAGGCCAGTCTGAAGGTCAGGTTTGGGGGGGCTGGTCCGTGAGTCCTTCTCTCCTTTCCCTCTTCTGCTTTCCTGCCAATGGCTCTTCTTCCACCTTGGTTTTGTTTGGGAGGTGAGTGAAGGCAGAAGGTACCTGGTCCATTCACCACATCCCTGACCTCTCAGCATTCCTGGGGCCAGGGGGTTCCCCACAGTAACATCTCCTGTGGGTTCTGATCCTTTATTTGTTGTCCTTCTTCGTGGGCTTAGCTGGTGACCTGGGGACTCTTCCCGGACAATTAGCTCAAGCCCTTCATCAGCCATTTTTCCAGGGGAAAATGGAGGCAAGGACTGAACTGAGGCAGCTCAGTGATGGCTCTGAGAGGCACCAGATCCGTGTGGTCAGGATCAGCAGTGCTCCTCCAGCATTCCCCCTTCCCCATCCCTCCAAGGTCCTGTCCCTGCAGAGGGACACTGAAACGTCCCCACTGCACCACCCCTGAGGGGGAGAAGCCCAAACCTGGTGGGTTTTCCTCATCATTAGTCAACATGTTCCTTCCCATCCCTGTTTGGATCCATCTCCACCTGACCAGCAAAACAGGATGAGACAAATCGTGTCCCAGTGTCCCCTTCCCGATGCCCCCGAGCCCGGGGGCCGCGTTCCCCCCGCAGCTCCCACGGAGTTGGTGGAGCAGGACACCTCCCACGGCCGAAACGCTCCACCCCATCCAGCCCCAGGGTGTGGGGAAGGATCCGGCCCCCCGTGTCTCCCAGCCCCATTCCCAAAGCAGCCAGGGAGGCTTCGCTTCCCTCCCCTCTTCGTGCAGCATCGACGAGAGGCAAAGTCAACAGGAAGGCAATGAAAAAAGCTATATTATATATATATACATATATATATATAAAATATATACAGAGAGAGGAGATGGGATAATAACCTAGAGATTCTCTATTTCTATTGTATATTTATTCTGTAAATGTCACTGTAAATGCTGTTAAATGACAAACTGTATTCCAAAGTGGCCCGTGACCAATTTTCATTCCCAGTGCTGTACAGATCAATTCTCATTCTAGAGAGGGACATATTTTTACCTTTTTATTTCTTGTCCGTGGTGGGTGGGCGTCCCTTTCCCCCCGCCCCCAGCCCAGGGAGGCTCCAACGATCCTGGGCGGACCCTGCAGAGAGGAAGAGGAGGAGGAGGAGGAGAGAGAGGAGGAGGAAGAGGGACGACGCCTTTACTTTTATCTGTGGAAATACTGTATTTTGTCGTGGCATTCGGTGTTAGACACGGGGTGTTGGGGGGAGTGTGTGTGTGTGTGTGTGTGTGTTTTAAGTGGTCCGTGTTGTCGCGTGTGTGTCCGTGCGGGGGGTGTGCGCGTGTCCGTGGGTGCGCCTGGGTTTAGGATTCACTTCTGGCTGTTCTCTCTCACTTTCCGAGCCTGCCTCGGGGGTTTCTCCCGCTCACCGGGGCAGGTTCTCCCTCCACACTCCTCCTCGGGGTCCCAGGCTGTGGGTGGGGCCGACCCCCGGTGGCTTTTAGCCCCAGAGATCCCGTTTTTTCCCTCTCTCTCTGCACAGAGGCACAGGGAATAGCTGCTAGTTGTGAGCACAGGCACTTTTCAGTTTTCCTTCAGGCAGTGGGACGAGGAGGGGGAGCCACTGCCGATGTCCCTGTCCCCCCACATCAGCTCCCTGCCCGGTTCCCAGCCCAGCTCCTGCTGCCAGGAGCAGTGTGCTGTCCCTGGCTGGGGGACAAGGAGGTGCTGGGGGGGTTGGGAGGGGTCCAAACCCTGGGGACAGAGCTGGGGTGGGGTTCCGTGGGTCTGGAGAAGGCAGAAAGGAGGTTGCAGGGGGGGGCCCACCTTGTGATACTGGTCCAGCCTGTAGGGCTGGAGTTGGGATGCTCCATCCCCCAGCACCGGGCTCTGCTCCAGGGGCTGGACCTTGATCCCGGTGCGAGTCAGAGGGGATGGCTGGAGCCAGGTCCCCAAGTGTCCCACGGCTCCTTCCCCTCAGTCCCTCAAAACAGCCCCTGCCTCACCTCCCAGCCCTCACCCAGACCCTGGCAGGCCACATGGACCCCCAGCACCTCCAGGAGCAGCTCCCACTGCCTTCTCCTGTCCCCGATCCCTCCCTGAGCCCGGGTCTCGCTGGCAGGGGTGGGAGCAGAGCTGGGTGGCCTTGGTGGCCAGGACAGTGGCCTTGGTGGCTGGGAGGGACAATGCACGGCCACGGGAGCCCCCAGGATGGAGCTGCTTCCCCTGGGGAAAGCACAATGCTGGCGAAACCCTCCTGTACAGGTAAAAGCACAGATCCCATCGTGACACATCCCTGTATCCCTGTAGTTCCCATCGGGCTCCTCGGCCATCGAGAGAAACCCTGTAAGAGCTGTATCAGAGTCTGATTAAAAGTCTCTTCTTACCAAACCTCTTCTCACCAAGCCTCTTCTCTGCCTCTGTTCCTTTCTTGGGGTGGGCTTTGGGGTCTCTCTGAGGTTTGGGGTGGCAGAGAGATAAAGCCGAGGGCATCGTTGGCATCCAGGGGCATTGGGGTCTGTCCTTTCCTGTCCTGTCCTGTCCCCACTATTGTTCTTCTGTGTCCCCTCACTCCTTCCAGCATCAGCCCCTGCAAGGGGCTCGTTCAGAGCAGGCAGGTGCTTCGGGAGCATCGGGGAGGTTGTTTTCCATCCCGGACCAGTTCAACCAGTACACACTGGCTTTCTGGGGCACATGGACTGGTGAGACACAGCGTCTGCTCCTCTGCAGAACACCCAGCCAACAGTGCTGGGGGCTCATCCTGAGCCCTGGGGGTCCTGGGAGTCTGGAGACTCTCCCTGGAGAAGGATTTCCAGTCACCCCAGATGCCTTCAACTGCTGGGAATTAGCTTGGCAACAGGTTTGGTGGGGAGAGGGGCTGCCCCTTCCCTTCCTTCCCATCTCTGGTAGCTCGTTTGGCTTCTCCAGGGCTGATCCAGCCCAAGGGAACGTGAGGAAGGAGGGAAGAATTGGGGATGTGTCCCTGGGCACTGGGGATGCCATCGGGGCACTGCCATGGCCACGAACTGAAGTTGTCCCCCTGCACTGGCAGCTGGGGAGGAGCAGGGCAGGGTTTTGGGCACCTTTGCACCATCTGGAGATGTTGGTGCAGGAGTGGGGCAAGTGTCTGGCACAGCTGGAGGAGCAGCACTGCTCAGGGAAGGGACAGGAGGTGGCACAGGGGGTGTCTGTGCCCAGAGGGTGCCCAGGACTCAGCTCTGGAGTGATGACCAGGACAATGGGACAGGTGGGACAGCTCTGCCCCTGCACAGCCCCGCTCGGGGGGAGCAGGGATGGAGATCCCAGCGCCCCCTCCTCCTCAGCGAGGGGGCACGGGGGGGATGCAGGAACACAGGGCAGCCCCCACGGGGACCCACGGGAGGGGTCACTGCTGTGCTGAGCTGGCCGGACTCAGCCCTTCCTGTGCTCCCAGAGCGTCTGGAGCGGCCGGAAAATCCCAGAGCTCCCTGAAAACAGCTGAAGGAAATAAACTCGGGGGGTAGAAAAACAACACAGAAATGGGTCCAAATGTAGAATTTAAGCCAAATACCTACTTTGGGAAAAAAAAATGAACTGAATTTCCTGTGGCAGTGAGGGAGGGAGATTTCAGAGCCTGGTGAGAGGTGAAGGTCGGTGCTGTCGGAGCAGGGGGTGGGCTTTGGCTGTCCCATCTCAAACCAGCTCTGGACCGGGGCACGGACACACGGTGGAGCTGCTACAGCAACATCTTGCTGTGATTCCCTGAGCACCTCGGAAAGAGAAAGGACAGTTATCCTGATGTTCAAAGACAGGGAAACCGAGACGCAGCAACAGCTCCCGCATCTCTCCCATTCATTCCAAAGGCAGACGATCTCCACCACCGTCTCTGCTCCAGCCCAGCCTCCTCCCACTCCCAAATTGCTTTTATGGAGCAAAATTGCATCAGCGACGCTGTGGATGGAGCCAGATTCTCCCCAGAGCCAGCCACGCTCCCGTGTTTTCCCTGCCTCGGCTCCAGCCGGAGCGCAGGACACAAGGTGGCACTGTCAGACAGAGCACGGGGACCGCGCCGGGAATTTGGGAAGCTTTCCCTGCCTGGGAATCAGGGGATGCGCGAGCTCCCCTTCCAGGGAGAGGCCGCAGAGGGATGGGGCTACAAACTCTGTCTGTTCAACCTGCACAGCTAAAATGGGTAATTTTAGCTGAAAAATTCACCTGGCAGAGGCAGATGGTGAAGATGGACCTTACCCAGGGCACGTGACAGCTTTTTTGGGAAGACCCTCCTCCAAGAGAGTGCCCAGAGAGGCTTCTTGGGGCTCACACCCTGGGGAGAGGGTGCTGTGGGTGCCACCACCCAAAGATGCCACCACTGGAGATGGATCTATCCCGCTAAAAACATGATGGGAAGAGGGCAGAGACCTTGTTTGGAGCACCCAGGGGTTCCTGAGGTCAACACATCTTTTAGTAACAGAAGCCTGGGCTGGAAGGACCCGGAGAGGTTGGTTTGGCTGTTTCTACACCAAAGCAGGATTGTCTCTCCCTAAACTGAGGCACCTGATCTACCTTCCTCCTCCATCCCTTCATGGATGGAGACATGGCAGGATCCCAGCGTGTCCCCAACCTCTCCAGGAGGCCACTCAGCTCTCTGGGCATCCCATGGCCCGTTGTGCTGGTCTCTTCCACCTTTGGGGACTTGCCCAGTGGACCACGGGCAAGGCTCAGAGTGTTGGGCTGGGTCAGGGGGTGAGACCAGTGGGGTGGACCAGAGACCCCTCAGCATGTCCTCAGGACACACCCAAGGCTTTCCAGGTTGGAGCTGATCCTCCTTGAGGTCTTCCAGGTCCTGCTCTTCATTCCATCCTTCTCCTGGATGTTATCTGAGATGCCCTGAGCCTTGCAGGAGGTCCCTGCAGAAGTGACTCCCTCTTGCTCCAAAAAGGCCCTTATTCATCCAGCTCTTGCCATTTTCTCTCTTTCTCTCTCTCTCTTTTCTTTTTTTTTTTTTTTTTTCTCCCATGGACATTAAAAATCCAAAGGCATATTTGGAGAGCAGACAGCTTTGGGCGGGTGTTGCTGGGCTAAAAGATCTCTTCCTTCCCCAGATACAACCCATTTGTCTGCCTGGCCACCTCCTCCCACCCCGGGAACGGCCGCGCTTGGGTGCACGGAGCTCTCCCCGGCGGGATGAAAAGTCTCCGGATAAAAAATTAGCCGCAGGTCGCAGCATTCCTTCCTCCTGGCCAAACTCGCCTCGCAGCCACCGAGGAGCTGAGCTGCGATGCCTGGCCGGTGATGCAAGGCTCGCTTTTTCCAGCACGGTTTTCCCTCGGGCTCCAGGCGCTCCCGCCGGTGCAGCTCCGGGTGCTTCGGGTGTGGAGCTCCGCCAGCCTCCACCCGCTCGGGATCCGGCCCTGGAAGCTCTGGAGTTGCAGGCACAGTTGGAGCAGGGCTTTCTTGGTGGTAAGATCTGAGCGTGGCTCTCGTGCCCCGTGGGTTTGGTTTTTTTTTTTTTTTGGGGTGGAGCGTTTGCCCCAAACCACCCCCAACATCCCGTGGACACGGGGGGTACGTGTGAGGGGACAAAACCGGGCAGGGGGTGACCAGGGGACCTGGGGGGACGCACCACACAGCGCTGGGAGGTGCAGAGAGAGATGCTGGGGCAGCATCCCCCGCTCACTAACCACAGCCCTCACCCCCGCCCTGCACCAAGGACCCCCTTATCCAAGCGCTGATCCCTCTGGATCAGCCCCCACCCCAATAACCGGCCTGTGCTGGGCTTGGATCCCCTCCATGACCCCCAATCCCCAAACCCCCACTTGCACACTCCCCCTCCCCCAGCACCAGCAGTGCCAGTGCAGGAGTAAACAGCACTGGCAGGATGAGTCCCTCGGGTCTTCCCCAGGGTGACAGCCTTGGCCTCTGGGGCACCGCAGCTTCTCCCCAGCCTCAGGAGCCGGGAGTGAGCGCCACCAGCCCCCCGGGGGTGTAGGACCCCCCCCAAGGAAGGGGGTTTAGGGGGGAGAGCCCCGGGGGTGGTCGTTACCCCGGGTCCCAGCCTCGGCGGCCGCGGAGGAAAAGGGACATCGCTCACGCAGGAGCCGAAACAGGGCGGAGAGATGCTCGGGGAGGGCAGTGGGAGGGAAGGGGGGCCAGGTCTATCTGCGGCCCCCCGGCTCCCCACCGGCCCTGGGGTCGGTCTCTCCTGACCTCTCGCTGAGCGAGGGATTGCGAGCCAGGGAGGGATGGGATCTGCGGGAGCCTCTGCCAAGAGCTGGCTCCAGATCCGCAGGCAGCTCTGGGCTGCATTTCCCCTCCGGCGCGAAGCGGAGCTGGGGTGTCCGAGGTTCACTCCTCGCTGACACCGCCCCCCCGAGACCCTCAGCGGCACGTCGGGCCCCGCGGGGAGGTGAGCGGTGCCCGGGGGTGCGGGGGACCTGCGGGGAGGCGGGGGGCTGGGCTGGGGGTGGGTGGAGGGGATGGAGGGATGGATGGAGGGATGGGAGGATGGAGGGGAGGGAGGGATGCGGGGATGGGAGGGAGGGCAGCGGCGGGGGCGCCGGGGGGGGGCTGCGGGGCTGGGCGCTGGGGCGGGGGGTCTCCGGCCCCCCGGCGGGGCGGCGCCGGCTCCCGTAACCCCGCCGCTCGCTCCCAGCCCTATAAAAGCCCCGCCGAGCCCCGCAGCCGCTCCCGCCGCCTCCCCCGCGCCGAGCCCCGGGAGGCACCGCCGGGGAGCAACAGGCCCCCCTGGCCCGGCCACGCGTGAGCGGAGCCCCCCCGGGGAGGGGGAGCGGGAGGGGAGGCGGAGGGGGCGCATCCATCCCCTCCTCTCCCCGCCGGGGACCGGGGACTTGCCCCCCGGCCGCCGCCCCCTCCCCGAGCCCGGCCCGGGGGGGGCGGAGGGAGCCGCCGGAGCGGGAGGGGCGGGCGGCGGAGCCCCCCCCGCGCCTGGAGCTGCAGGTACCGGGCCGGGGGGGACACGGCGCCCGGCGGGGCCCAGCATCCCCCCATCCCTTCCCCAGCATCCTCCCGGCTGGGCCCGCAGGCCCCCCCGCCCGCCCCGGGCCCCCTCCATCCCGCACTTGTTGCTGCCCGGTAGGGCTGCACCGGCTCCCGGTTTAGGGCGGTTTTATTCGGGGGGGTGGTTTGGGAGGGGGTGGAGGTTGCAGCCTCCCCTGCTGTCCCCCGGCAGCCAGCGGTGTCCGGCTCGGCTCCCGCTCGCTCCCCCCGAGGCCAGAGCCAAGCCTGAGCCCCCCCTTTTCCCCTCCCCAGTCCCATCTGTGCCCCCCTCTCCCGCCTCCGCCGACCCCCAGCTCCTCGCCCGGAGGAAGGGTGCGCGTTCCGTGCATCTCCCATCCACCGAAATCTATGATCAGCTCGGTGTGTGTCTCCTCCTACCGTGGACGCAAGTCTGGGAACAAACCACCCTCCAAAACATGCCTGAAGGAAGAGATGGGCAAAGGGGAAGAGTCGGACAAGATCACCATCAACGTGGGGGGCACCCGGCATGAGACCTACAAGAGCACCCTGCGGACTTTGCCGGGCACCCGCCTGGCCTGGCTCGCCGACCCCGACGCCCAGAGCAACTTTGACTTTGACGGGAAGAGCAACGAGTTCTTTTTCGACCGCCACCCGGGGATCTTCTCCTACGTGCTCAACTACTACCGCACGGGGAAGCTGCACTGCCCCGCGGACATCTGCGGGCCCCTCTTCGAGGAGGAGCTCACCTACTGGGGCATCGACGAGACCGACGTGGAGCCCTGCTGCTGGATGACCTACCGGCAGCACCGCGACGCCGAGGAGGCCCTGGACATCTTCGAGAGCCCCGAGCCCGGCGGAGGGGCCGGTGGAGAGGAGCCCGAAGAGGAAGGGGGTAGGGAGATGGCCTTGCAGCGCCTGGGCATGGATGACAGGCCCCCCGGGGCGGCGGGGGCTGCTGGAGGGGGTGGCTGCTGTCGGAACTGGCAGCCCAAGATGTGGGCGCTCTTTGAGGATCCCTACTCGTCCAAGGCGGCCAGGGTAAGATCCCGGAACGCACCGGTGGGGACGTGGGATGGGGCCCTGCTGGGGTTGTGTCTTCAACTCTCTGTCCCTGTGGTGAGATGGACTTTTCTTGTGGTTTATGTGGGCGCCCTCATTGCCATCCCCTCCTCCCGTCGGGCACATTGGCCGTCCCCCATCCCACAGGACACCTCTTCCATCATCTCCCAGTCTCCTCCCAGTGCATCACACCTGGGGATGCTGAGCTGAAACTGGAGGCAAACCCAATCCCCGCCTCCTTTGCACCCTCAGGTGCTGCCTGGGCACCTCTGGGGCATACGGAGATGAGGGGTTGCTCCTGGAAAGGCTGAGTCTTGGCAGAGGCCGAGGATGCTCTAGGGCGGGCAGAGTGCTTGGGTTCCTCTCGCTGGGTTGTGGCCACGCCAAAACCCACATTCAGTGGCCGAGGTGTGGAGGGGTCAGGGCTGGTCCTGAAGCAAATGGGATCCCCATGACTGTCCCCAAGGAGCTCGTGCTCCTCCTCTGCAGCAGCAGCAGCCCCGAAGGACACCCCGTGGCCCCCCGTCCCCCACTGTCACCGTGTCGATGCCGCCCACGGTGCCCATGAGGACACAGTGCCCATCAGGACGTGGTGCCCATCAGCACATGAGAGCACAGGCTCTCAGCTGTTAACACACAGAACACCCCTCCCCAGGCCCCCCCCCCACGTCCCCATGTCCCCAGTACCATGTGCTCACACACGTGAGCAGGACCCTGCACCCACAGCCCCCCCGGGCCTCCCTGGGCATGCAGACAGTCCCTACCCACGGGCACCGACATGCCCGGGATGTTTTCCCCAAAACCAGCCGCATCTCCAGGCTCTCTGTGCATGTGTCTCCTCTCCCAGCTGCTCTCAGATCATCCCCAAAATGCTGTCTCCCAATCCCCAGACACCCCCCCTGTACCCACCCAGTCCCATCCCCCGTCACACCCAGCTCATAAACCTGCCCCCCACACACGGACGGGCATTTGGGATCAAAAGGAATTCTGGATGCACTTAGAGGTGGAAAAAACCCCCATCCATGGCAAGAAATCCTGCAGGCTGATTTCACACCCACCAGCAGCACAGGGCAGGGGTCGGTTTGGCAGGGAGGTGTTTTTGCAACACACACCCGCAGAGGATGCTCGGGCAGGGAGAGCTGAACTCCTCCTAAAAGGGGGGAACCCGCTCCTTTGCCCATCTCTGCGGGCTCATCACCTCAGGGAGCTGCTGAGTGGTGCAAAGCTCCAAATAAAATATTCAACAAAATTAAAAATAAACCCAAGCACAATAATTCAACTCCTTACCCCCCACCCCCCCTACCATGGTGTTATTTGGATTTGCTTTTCCCGTGTTTCCTGTTTTCCTGTGTGCTGAGCTGCTCCTGGAAAGGCTTTAGCAGGAGGAATGTGTTGGAGGGAGCAGAGATGATTGTGATGGAGCCCTGGTTGGGGCTGGAGTGGGACTGGTTTGTACTGGGAGCTCCCTGCTTCCTTCTCAGTGCTCTGTGCTAAAGGCTCAGCAATGCCAGGGGAATGGTCACCTTCCCAGGTCACCACTGGGAAAAATACCTGTGTGGCTTGGGAGAAGGGGAATCTGAGGCACAGAGCAGTGAAACCAACCCCAGTGAGTGCAACCTGCCCAGTGTTCCCCGTTTGGAGTAACCATCCAGCACTGGGATGTTCTGGGGTCCACGAGCATCCCTGTGGGTGCAACGTTCACGGTGCTGCCCTGATGTTTTGGGCTGGTGAGGTTTGGGGTGGTGGGGATTTCTTTAACACTGCCCCATTTTGGGCTGGTGAGGTTTGGGGTGGTCAGGATTTCTTCAATTCTGCCCCATTTTGGGGCCTCTGCCTTCCTTTCTAGAGCCAAAGGGGTGCTGCTGGTTTCAGGGAATGCTCCAGAGCAGCCAGTCTTGGTGCATTTTGCCAAACCTTGGGAAGCAGCAGTCCCAGGGTGTCCATGTAAACCCTCAGCTGTGACTAAGAGTCTCAGGAGCTGAATTTCTCCTCCCCATGGAGCAGCCCCTCGGGCCCTGACTCAGTGGCTCCCTGCTATTTCCATCTTTCCCTCCCTCCAGCGCTCCTCCTGAGCTGCCAACTGCAGGATTAGAAATCCCTCCCGAGTTTTTAGCCCCTTTTCCATGTCCCATTGATGTCCATGGGATCCCTGGCTCCTCAGTCCAGTCCACCCCCAGGGAATTTGGTCCCTGGTGCAGCTGCTGTCCCAGCTGGAGTTTAACACTTTTCCTCCCCACGAGAAACTGCCCACGCTGGGATTTCACCTCTACTTCCAAATTCCTCCTACTTGGAGCTTCTCATTATTTTCCCCCGTTTGGGGAGCCCTGGCCTTGCTTCCATGGGCACTGCCAGGTTGGTGAGCCCCTGTAGGCCTCAAAGAATCCCTGGATTCCTTGGGAACACCCATCTCAAGCTGTTGAGTGAGGTTGAGATCACACAGATCGTCAACAGGTTCTGCAGGACTCGTTTGTGACAGTTCTGGTGTGTACTGGTGGTACTGGGTGAATGCATAGATTTGATTTCATTTTAAAGACATTTTGGAAAAGAACTTGAGTTTTGAGCAGAGACTGAGACATCTTGGGTCAGACACAAAACTGGAGCAGCACTGTTGGTTTGGGGGGGGACACGATGGTTTGCACTGGCTGTGAACCCGACTCTCCTATTTTTAGAGGTTGTTTTTGCTCCTGGAGCTAAATCAGGTCTCACCTCACTCTCACACAGCAGAGCTGCTTCATTACCCGAGTGTTCACAGGGTATCACCCCCTTCCTTGGTCTTTTATATTTCTTCCTGCTTTGCTTTGAGTCCAAGTTTTTACTCTTGAGGTTTTCCCGAGATTTCCCAAACAGGGAAACTCAGGAACATGAGTCAGCCATCGGCTGAAAGCGGATTATTTTGGCTGTGCCACTGCTGTGTAGGGACACTTGTCTGGCTAAACTGGCCTACAGAGCTCACTTTTTGTTGGATTTGCTTCCCAAACTGCATGTGGCTCATCGGCCTTCAGAGCCACATGTGGTCCAGAAGGGTCTGATTAAGGGGTGAGGAGCATCTCATCCCATCCCTGAGTAGGTGTCTGGGATGGGAGACTCACCTTCCAGAGGTTTCTCCAGCAATTAATGCCTGGTTTAACCTTCCCACCAAACCCTTGATGGGCTGACACTCCCTGGGCCGTCTCTCCACGGGTTTGCCCTTGGGGACACCCCTCAGGGATGCTCCTGGCAGGCTCTGGGCTTCCACTCCGGGGTTGGGTTTTTCTCCAGTGTGACTCAGGCTCTCTGTGCTGCTGATTCACTCCAGCTGAGGGCCGGGGCTGTCTCCTGGAGCAGCCTCATGGAGCAGCTCTTCCCAACAAATGGTCTCATCCTGCTCAGTGCAGGGGCAGCAAAGGGGCTGGAGCAGGATCTGCTCCCAGGGAGCCAAACCCACTGTGGTTTTGTGCTGGAGGAAGGTGGAACAAAAGCAAGAGCTTTTCTGCTCAGAAGCTTTTTTTTTTTTTTTCAGGGGCTCTTGGAAACAGATGCTCTGGGTAAAGGACTCATCATGAGCTCATCCTGCCGGGAGGGGGCTGAGCAGGATTGATGGGGCACCACAAGGTGGTTCTTTGTGACACAGCCTCTGATTTCCACCCCCCTCGCTGATATCCACGAGGAGGAGGTGGCATGGAGGGGACAAAGGTCTCACTGGTCTGCCAGAGGGGACAAATGGGAATATCTGGGTGTCACCAGGCCCAGGCCTCAGCGGGAGGCTGAGCTCTGCCTGCTCCTCTCCTTGTCCTGCCCTCTCAGTCCTGGGACCTTTTGTGGGCACATCATCCACCACGGCCCCTCAGGGAGCAGGAATGGAGTGAAAGGACATCTCTGACACATCCAGACCCCAAACCTCACAGTCATGAATGATGAGAACCTCTCATCTGGTGTGGTTTGGGATGCACGTGGGGGAGAGTTCTTTGACTTTGTCCTCTTAAAATTTAAGAATTAAATTCTTAAATTTTGTGTCTGTTCCCAGTGGAGTCTCACTCTGATCCCAGGCTGTTCCAGGTCTCACTTCATCCCCATAACTGTCATTTCTGGCACATCTCCAGCCACAGCTGGAGCCCAGCTCACCCTGCCATGGACAGATCGTAGCACTTGGAGAAAGGTTCTGGCTCCAGACACTGAGGTTTGCTGCCAACTCATAGGACAGGTCCAGGAACCCTTCCCTGCTCTCCACCCTTGGTCTTGGCGCAGTGGGTGGCAGCTCCTGGGGTGTTTTGAGCCTCCCCCAAAGAGGAGAGGTCGCCCCACATCACTCATGGCCTGTGTAATTCCTGCTTTCCCAGGTCGTCGCTTTTGCCTCGCTCTTCTTCATCCTGGTCTCCATCACGACCTTCTGCCTGGAGACACACGAGGCCTTCAACATCGACGTCAACGTGACGGAGACCCTCGTGGTCGGCAACACCACGACGGTGCTGCTGACGCACAAGGTGGAGACGGAGCCCATCCTCACCTACATCGAGGGCGTCTGCGTCCTGTGGTTCACCCTCGAGTTCCTGGTTCGCATCATCTGCTGCCCAGACAAGCTTCTCTTTGTCAAAAACCTGCTCAACATCATTGACTTTGTGGCCATCCTGCCCTTCTACCTGGAGGTGGGTCTCAGTGGCCTGTCCTCCAAAGCCGCCCGGGATGTGCTGGGCTTCCTGCGGGTGGTTCGCTTCGTCCGGATCCTCCGGATCTTCAAGCTGACGCGGCACTTTGTGGGTCTCCGGGTGCTGGGCCACACCCTCCGCGCCAGCACCAACGAGTTCCTGCTCCTCATCATCTTCCTGGCCTTGGGGGTGTTGATTTTCGCCACCATGATCTACTACGCCGAGCGCATCGGGGCCAAGACGTCCGACCCCACCGGGAGCGACCACACCCACTTTAAGAACATCCCCATCGGGTTCTGGTGGGCCGTGGTCACCATGACGACCCTGGGCTACGGTGACATGTACCCCAAGACCTGGTCGGGGATGGTGGTGGGGGCTCTGTGCGCCCTGGCCGGGGTCCTCACCATCGCCATGCCCGTGCCCGTCATCGTCAATAACTTTGGGATGTACTATTCCTTGGCCATGGCCAAGCAGAAGCTGCCAAAGAAGAAGAAAAAGCATATACCCCGTCCAGCCCCTCTGGACTCCCCCACCTACGGCAAATCCGAGGAAAACTCCCCCCGGAACAGCACCCAGAGCGACACCTGCCCCTTGGCAGTAGAGGAGGGGGCGACTGAGCGGAAACGGTCAGGTGAGACCCCAGAGGGGGGGAGCAGGGAGGGGGAGACCTCCAGGAGCACCCAAGGCAATATTTTTGGTCCCCTGTGACCCTGGGGATAGCGCAGGGTGTGGCCTCCATCTCTGGGGTGGGTGAGAACTCGGTGTAGAAGGGGATGGGACCTTCGAGTGTGAGGGTGTTGGGGGCCCTATTGGTGGACCAGGATGCTGCAGATCAAATCCCCCCTCCAGGAAAGGGGGGAAGGCCATATCCTGCTCTTCCAAAAGACATACCATGCTCTCCTAATGGCATAGATCCACTCACCATGGTGGGATTCCAGGTGTTCCTCCATTGCCCACCTCTCCCTCACGCTGACAAAGGTAAGGCCACTTGCCCAGCTCCCAACTAAGCCTGGTCATGCCCTTGGGATAGATTTTCCTTTGCTTCCTCCCACCATAAATCATGGAAACCTCCATCAAAATGGATAAATCCCTGGATGTTCCCGGGGGCTTGACCCTACCTCCCCATTCATTTTCTGGTGGACACAATCCCTGCGTGGCTGTTCCAAATCCTGAGCAAAAACCAGCCCCTGGACATTTATTATTCGCTCTCATCCTGAAGTCTGGGGGTTGGCCAGTCCTTCCTTTGGCTCGGGATAGGGCATGGCTCCAGTTGTGGGCAGCTGTTTGTGGGCACCACCCCCTGGGCTCAGCCTGGGGGTCTCTGAGGGCCCTGTGTCACCACTGGCCGTGGCAGCTGCTCTGCCCTTCTCCTCTTGGTTTGCTGCCAGTGGCACCTCTGGAACAGCTGGAAGTGGAGGGACCCCGGAGGGGTTGTGTCCTGCACCCACATGATCTCGCTGAGGTCAGCCCTGGACAGCTGCACATCTGGAACATCTGTTTAACAGTGTCCTCCATCTGCGGGGACACGGGGAGCTCTGAATGCCCCAAACAGCTTTTTTCCTTATAAATCTCCCTTTTCCATGTGCCTGCACACCCTGCCTGCCCCAGGAGCCCTGGCAGAGGGAGCAGGAGCTCTGCAGGAGCAGGTCAGCCCTGTCCCTTCCCCCTGCACCCCCAGGAGCCCAGGCCAGGCCCTCCCGTGGCAGAGCCTCCTCTCAGCTGAGGAACCAGGGAGTCAGTGACACTAATTAGCACCTCCCACTGTCCCGAGCAGCTGGTTCCTCCAAGAATTTTTGGAGAGCTAATCCCCACTAATCAAGTGGGTGGATCTCAAAGACCTGGGGGGTTTCCTCCTTACCTTTGGCTTCATGTGGGGTTTATAACCCTCAGCAGGGGAGGAGCTGCTCTTTGCTGCTCGGAATTAAGGCTGGGATAGTTCTGCTCCCCTGGAGTTAATTACTCCAAATTAGTGTCCAGACTGGGATTGTCCCTGAGTTGGTGGGTTCTGCCTGGACTGCCTGCAACCTGGTTCCATCTGCTTCCTTGAATGGTCTGACCAAACCCTTCTGGCCACCACGAGCACCCCGTTCTGTGGCTTTATCAGCTGCTGATGGGTCTCTGCCACCTCCCTGCAGACTCCAAGCAGAACGGGGAGGCCAATGTGGTGCTGCCGGACGAGGAGCAGCCGCTGTCGCCGACGGACGAGGGGAAACGGCCCCTGCGCCGCTCCAGCACCCGGGACAGGAACAAGAAATCCTCCACGTGCTTCCTGCTGGCCACGGGGGACTTCTCCTGCGCGGCTGATGGAGGCATCCAGAAAGGTACGGCGGGGGGTGTGAGCTGGCAGGGGCAGGTGGAGGAGAGAGGGGGAGGTTTGTTGTTGACCCAAGGCAGGAGTTCATCTCCATCCGCCCCCTGGCTCTTCTCTGCTCCCCAAATCCATGTCCTCCTGCCTCTCCATCCGCTTCATCTCCGTCCACCACATCTCTCTGTGCTGGCCCCACACTTTTTGTTTTCTCCTCCCCCCGACTGCCCCTGTTTGGGGTCTGTGACCCCGTTGCTGGTGGCCCTGCCCTGCGTGGGGACAGGTCTGTCCCTTTGCTCCCCAGTGCTCCAACTTCTGCCCCTCCAACTCTTCTCCCTGGGCTTCAGTTGTCCATCTCAGGGGGGTGTGAAAGGGACATCTCCTGGGCACGTGGTGACCAAAAGGTTTTCAGTAGGGAAAAAAAATCCCCATGTTTTCCTTTCCTCTCCCCCCCCGGCGGCTTTCGGTGGGTTCGAGCGTGGGGAGCTGTGATGTGTCAAGTGCTGCCTTGCCAGAAGCTCTGGGCTGCCAGAAAGGCTCCTCTGGGTTTGGAAACGGAGCTGTGCTTGAGTGTTGAGGTTTTCCATGGGAAACTGAGGGGGAGATGAGTCAGGAAAACACAAAACTCTTCCTGCCATGAGAAAACAAAGTCCCCTTCAGCCTGGTCCCAGCCTTCTCTGCCCCTCTCCCACCAACTCAGCCCCCGTGAGGGTAAATCCAGTGCCACAAAATCCAGCTGCACCCTCGATTGCTGGGATAATTCTTAGGGCAGGGCTCAGATTTTTAGCTCTGCAGGTTTTTTTATGTGTTCAGGCTGCTGCCTGTTGCTCCCAGGGAATGGTGCCTGGAGCTGGGATCGGGCAGGAGGAGGGATGAGCTGCTCACCAAGACCTGTTGGTGCTTTGGAGACCCTCAGGGATCTGTTGCTTGTGGAAGTGGTTGGGATGGTAGAGACTGGATGGGCTTGGGATGCAGGGAGGTGTTTGGGGGCAATCACACTTATCACAGCAGTAAAAGCAAATTGGTTGTTTCCTCCTGGGAAATCAAGGATTCCCTTTGGCATTCCGGCTCAACCGTAGAAAAGAGAGAAAATTAAAAGCTTTGCTCATCTTTGGGCAAATGCTGTCAAATATTTGCTTGAAATGTTTCATGCTTTTTTCCTGGAAGTTCCTTTTCCTGTGAAGTTGGTTTCTTTTCTTAATGCCTGTTAATGTGAAGATGAGAGGGGGCTCCAGTCCTGCTCCAGACTGGGAGGGGGAGGCTGAACTGGAAGGGATGAAGGAGAGGGATGAAAGCCAGTGTTGATCATCATCCTCAGGAAATGCTGAAGTTGGGCATCTCTTCAGCTGAAGCATTTGAACCTGGTCCCACTGGAGCCTGGAGGAGCTCTAAGAGCTGAGGATCCAGAGCTGCTTTCACTGCTCCCAAATCCCATTTCTGCAGGACACCAGGAGGTTTCTCTCCTTGCGTGGTGGCAGCAGCATCTACTGGAAAGGGCACTTTGGTGATTGTGTTTGGGGTGTTCTGGTGTCTTCCCTGCAAATATCAGAGTGCTTTTTACAATTTAAACCAGAGGTGTCCGTGGTTCACTTCCCCCCACGTTGCTGCAATGGTGTTGCACCTGGAGACAGGTGGATGCAGAGGGGCTTCAGAGATGCTTGAGACCTTTTGGGAAGAGGGAACCTCAATGCCTGGGTCCTGCTGGCAGGATGGGTGGGATGCTGGCCCAGGAGGTCAGGGGGAAATGCTCCAGAGCTCAGGGGTGACCAGAGGTGAGCAGGGGGCAGAGCAGCCTCCAGCCAGGAGCCGCTGGGAGCCGCAGAGGCTCCTCTTCCCTTGCTCCTGATTTATCTCCTGCTGAGGCTGTTTGTTCTGGTCCTGGGTTCTTGGCAGCTCTGCAAATTGAGATGAGCTTGGTTCTGAGCCCGACTCGCTGCTGGCCATCTGTCAGATCCTGGGACAGGTACTGGTGTCTGTGCAAGCTGTGGAAAGCAGGAGATGGAGCTGGTTCAGGAATAAGCTGCAGATCTTGGTATTTATCATGGATCAACTCCAATTCCAGTGGTTGGTCTTGTTGGGGCAGCTCAAAGAGAAGAGTTACCCCTGCCCACCAGCCCTTGGACCTGGGCCTGGGGAGCACAGAGCTGGGTTGCTGTGGATTCCCATGTGGAATGTGTTTCTTGCCCCTGTGGATGCTTGCAGTGGTGTCCCTTTGCTCCCTTGATGCCAGGGACGGTTTCAGACCCCTGATCTCCCTTCAGCAGTTCCCAAAAATGTGTCCTGCTGGGCCCAGACATGTTGGCATGACTCTGCTTTGGAATGTGAGCCTTGTCCTCTGCTTGGATGGAGGGATAGGGAGGCAGGAAGAGTCCAGCACCCCCAATGCCAGTGAGGTGGGTTATGATGGAATCATTTAGGTTGGAAAAGAGCTCTGAGATTGAGTCCCATCGTTCCTCCAGCACTGCCCATGTTCCCAAGTGCCACATCCACGTGTCTTTTAAATAACTCCACCCCCTTTATCAGCACACTGATGTGGCCCAGCAGCAATTTTTGGCTCTGTGGCCAAACCCAGAGTGTTTGCAGATTTTTTCCTCTGTCTCTTGCTGTCAGTGCAGGGCCATGACCTGGGATGGAGCTGGGGATGCTCCAGTTCTGGGCCCCTCAGCTCAGGAAGGATATTGAGGTGCTGAAGCAGGTCCAGAGAAGAGCAACGAGGCTGGGGAAGGGACTGGAGCACAAGTGCTGGGAGGAGAGGCTGAGGGAGCTGGGGGGGCTCAGCCTGGAGAAGAGGAGGCTCAGGGGAGACCTCCTCACTCTCTGCAACTCCCTGACAGGAGGGGGGAGCCGGGGGGGGTTGGTCTCTTTTCCCAGGCAACTCTCAGCAAGATAAGAGGGCTGGGTCTGAAGCTGTGCCAGGGGAGGGTTAGGTTGGATATTAGGAAGAATTTCTTTACAGAGAGGGTGCTCAGCCATTGGAATGGGCTGCCCAGGGAAGGGGTGGATTCTCTGTCCCTGGAGATTTTTAAAAAGAGACTGGATGTGGCATCAGTGCCATGGGCTGGGAACCACGGCGGGGTTGGATCAAGGGTTGCACTTGATGATCTCAAAGGTCCCTTCCAACCCAGATGATTCCATGATTCTATGAGCTTCCACTGGCAATGCCTGGCTGGGGGGAGCGAGGAGCAGCCCAGGGCTGTGTTAGGAACAAGCACAGGCATTCCCAGGCACTGCTGCCTCCCTGCTTTACCCTGCCCCATGTGCTCTCCCCTCCCTGCCCCTGCACCGGGAACTCATTATTTCCTGAGGGAAGCCCAGCCTGGGAGGTCCCCCTGGGGTCACACAGTGTCCCCTCACTCTCTTTATAGGCAGCAAACCTGTTGGTAAAGCAATGCCAGTGACCTGAGGTAGCACTGGAGTTACTGGGATTCTGGCTCTGTTAATGAACTGCAGCCCTGGCAATCAGCAGAACACAACCCCCTGGGGCTTTGTGGCTCCTCCTGTCCCTGAGCTTGGTGGAAAACCACGATGGACTTGAGGGATGGAGCCCTGAACTCCTTCCCAGGTGCTCCTGCGAGTGTGGCTTGGGAATAAACTGATGGAGAGAATGGAGGGTTGGGCTCGGGGAAGGTTTGCCCTTGGAGCTGCAGAGGGTCCCTGGGGGAATCCAACATCTTTATGAAGTGCTGCCCCAAACTGTGGTGTTGGAGACTTAATCAGAGCAAGCAGCGTGATTTTGGCCCTATTCCTGTACCCTTTTCCAGCCTTTTTTATTCAGAGAACGGAGCAAGAGGGCAAAGATCCTCCCTATAAACTTGGATCACCCCGTAACTCCTCCTGCCAAACTGGTGCTGTTTGGGTGCTGGATCCAGGGTTATCCTAAGATTTCAGGGACTGTTGGATCTCAGCAGGATTGCTTCCCGCACACAGGGATCAGGGTGGCAGGGAAACGTGAGCTCCCCAGAGAACCACAGCTCTCCCGGGAAAAGAGCGAGGGCTGAGCAAGGATGAGCCTAATGCAGTTTTTTGGGGGTATTGGGGGGCGCAGGAGGGTCTTTGCATCAGCTGCTGTAGGTGAGAAACATCCCCAGCTCCCCCCAGCTCAGGGCTGTGCTCATTCCCTCCCCTCTCGCTGGGTGGATCCAAGCCAGAAAGTAAATCAGGAAATTGCTCCTCTTCTCAGGGGCTGATTCTAGTCCTGCTTCCACTGCAGAGACTGGGAAAGCTTTGCTAGAGTCAGCAACAGGTTTGTCCCTCTGTGCCCTGGACCCACCTCTGCCTGAAAAATGAGGAGCTTCTCAGGGGGCTGAGTGGTGGGAAGGGGTTGAAGGATCCTCATCCTCCCTGCTGAGTGCTGGAGATGAGAAATGATTGGGGAAAAAAATATTAAAAGGGGATAAAAAAATCAGGTTTAAAGTGCTCTGGAGCTTTTTCCAGGTGACACTTTGTCTCGGCCTCCTCCTGGGGGCTGAGTGCTGACTCCTGATCCCAGCCCAAACCAGCCTGGCCAGACCAGCAGAACCCGAAGTGCCCCCGGAACACCCCGGGGTGGGACACAGGGAGGGGTTCCAAGCTTGGCACTGCCCCGGGGGCCATCCATCACCCTGTTTTTCTGCTGTCAGGAGCTGCTCCCTGTGCTGCCCCTGTACACACCCCGGCACTTCCACGCTCCTGCTTTCCCTGGATCCTGCTGGTGCTCGGGAAAGGCTCAGGCTTGGCTGGGTTTGCTCACCCAGGAAGATGCAGGCACAGGGACATCGGGCTCATCATGGCCAGGAGCATCATTAATTTTCCATATTTTGGCAGCAGATCCAGGGACAGACTCATCTGCAACAGCGCTGCAGGTTGGACCTAAAAATCCAATTTTCAGTGCAAATACTTAGTGCCTTTCCAGCAAGAAAAGTGGCTTTTGACCTGTGAGAGCATTTCTTCTGGCTGTTTGCTTTTCCAATAAAAGCTGGAGCAATTCCTGGCTCTTTGGGAGGAGTGTGAAGGGTCCCTGTGCTTGAAGAAATATAAATATCTGCAATTTCTTGCAGAAAATAATGAGCACATCCACCTGCTCCTTTCCACACAGAAAGGTGTGTGCAGCAGCTTGGGGTTTAAAACCCAGAGCCGTGGGAATAACTCCTTCAAAATCCCATATTTGTTTGAGTTCTGCTGCTTTTCCCTGTCTGCTTTAGCCCACAAAACCCCCAGTTTCATTCCTCATTCAGAAAAATTTGGGAAGCAAAATCCAACACCCCCCAGGAGCAATTTGGTCTCCCAGGACTGACGACTCCCAAGTCCTGGATTTGGCCAGTGCTGCTCCACGAAGGGAGGGGGAAGGTCTGGAGGATCTCTGGTTGCCCTCAGAAAGCTCTTCCTGGATTTTTTAGGGGGTTGATTGGGGCGTGGGGCTGGTGACGCTCCCCCTGGTGCTCCCGGCTTTCCCAGCCTTGGGAATGGGGCTGCTCGGCTCTAACCTGTGTGTTTTCTCCACCAAGGCTATGGAAAATCCCGGAGCCTGAGCAGCATAGCTGGCGTGGCAGGATCCCCGGGGGGCTTGGCCCCGCTCCCGTCCCGCTGCAGCTCTCCCTGTGCTCTGCAGAGCCCCTGCTCTCCCGTCCCCTCCATCCTCTAAAACACCTCCCGGACCCCGCTCTGTGTCGTGTCGCTCCGTCCCCCCTTCCCAACAGCTCCGTGGCTCCAGTTTCCAGGCGAGTTCCAGCCGGGACATCTCCACCCCCCCGAGCAGCTGGTTCTGATCCTCTCCAGCCCCCCCTGCCCTGCTCTGCAGGAGCTCTAACGTCTCCACTGACCTTGTCTCGTGTTCAGGACACACCCCTGCAGTGGGCTTGGGGTAATTTCCCCCTCTCAAAACATTATTAATCCCGAATAAACCGCAGGCCGACCCCTGTGATTCCCTCTGGGGTCGAGCCCTCCCTCCCGTGGGCCGGTTGCACTCGGGCTAAAGGGTGATGGAAACACAAGAAGGACATGTTGACTTATAAAATTATATCTCATTGTGCTGGAAATGGCTGAGTTCATATAATTTTAGGTTCTGTTTTGTTGTTTTTCTTTTTTTTTAATTTAAAAACCAGCGTCAAGTTTCCGGAGGCAACAGATGAATAAACCTCTATTCCCTGCCCAGCAGTGGTTCCCCTCTCATTTTGTGCCTCTTTCTGCCTAAATCACACTTGTTCTTCCCCAGACTGTGTCTGATTGTCCATCTGGCCTCAGGGACGGGCCTTGGAAAGCAGCCCTGAGGTCCTGTGGAGGGTGAAGGGCCTTGGGAGAGGCTGGGAGAATAGGCAGGGATGCTCCCATGAAGAGCTGGGAGGTGGTGGGAAGAGGAACAAGGGTCCCTGGGAAAGCTGCTGCTGGTGTTGAACAGTGGGGACAGGAGGGATTTGAGACAAAACGATGCCTAAATGGAAAGGGGGCTGAATCCTTTCTGGAGATGGACACGGGGGGTGGGGCAGAGCATTCCCATGGGAACGGGCTCTGGGTTTGAACCAGATCCCCCCATCCCTGGGAGGAGGAGGCTGGAGTGCCAAACCCCTGTTATGCTGCTTTTGCTCGTGTATATTAGTTTTTGGGGTGATTTTGGATGATCTCAGGTGTTTCTGGAACTCAGACCAACCCTTCAGCCCCTGATTTGTGGCTCATGTCTTGCTCTGTTACCCCAGCTCAGCCTCCCCGGAGCCATCTGGGTTTGGGGGGGCTGCAGGGGCTGCTCTGGGGGTGCAGCCCTGGTCTGGAATCCCACCCTGCTGCTCTCTCAGTCTCTCTGCTCACCCTGAGCAAGGCAGGGCTGCCGCCTGGAGAATTTTCTGGGCAGCAGAGCTTGGTTTTGGGTGTGTTTAAAAAGAAAAGAGCCCCAAAAGGTTTCTGGGGATCAGACCCTTCCCCTCCATCGTGGCCAAACTGGAGCTGGAGCTCAGGGAATGATGCAGAGCGAGGATCCTTGGGGGGCAGGGATGGGCAAAGGTTGGACTGGATGATCTTGGAGGTCTTTTCCAACCTTAATGACTCTGTAATTCCATGGTCCCCACACCCTGAAGGAACTGGGATGGATTTTGGCGTTTCCCACAGCCAGGACCCTCCTGCTCCATCCCAGGCCCCCTGTGCCCCAGTTTCCCACAGTGTAGAGAAGGAGCTGCCAGGAGGAGCCAGTTCCACCTCCAAAACAACCCCCCTCCGAGTCCTACACGGGGCCAACAAGAAGCCCTTCACTTTTATTTTGCTTTTCTTCCTCCCTCACCGTGTCCCAGCCCTGTGAGGGCTGAAGGGAAGCAGAAAAGAGGTGGAAAACCTCAGTGCCACGAGCTGGATCCTGGGGCTGGATGGCAGGAGCTGGGCCCTGCAGAGACCCAGTGCTGGGGCTGGAATTTCTGGGGATCTGGGGAGAAATTGGGATGAGCTGCATCCATCCTCTGCCCAGGATGTCCTGTGGTGGTTTCTGACCCCTGTGCTGTGCTGGGGATTCACCCCTTGTTGGCAGCACCTGTGTGTCAGTGGTGCAGCTGCATTCCCGGGATTTCTGTGATTGAAGTGTATTCCCATAGGAAATGGTCGGAGTAACTGGGCAGGTCCATGAATCACCCAAAGATCCATGAGCTGGCTGAGTCCAGTGCCTCACACTGGCATTTCTCTGGCTCATCCTCCCCTCTCGAAGCAGGAGGAGCTGGAATATCCCCATCCCCTGAGAGAGGGAAGGTCACCCTCTGTGATTTCAGTGGTCTCTGGACCACAAATGATTTATCAAGGTCACACACTGACTCTGGGGACAAGCCAGCCATGAAACCCCGTCCCTTGAATCAGACCAGGATGCTCAAAATTTGGGGTTTTAAGCAGAGGATCGATCCCAGAGCAGATCCCAGGAGATCCCACCCTCTCCCCACAGCAGAGCTGGTTGTCTGCTGTGGAAAACCTTTGGTGGGCCCCCCAAAATCTGGTCCCCACCGGAGCAAGGAGGGCTGGGCAGGAGCTGCCACAGGATGCAATTTTTAGCTGTGCTGTTATGCAACTCGGGAGAGGGGATGACTAATGTGCAAAAAGCTCCTCTAAAACAACCAAACCCCAAAAGGGAGACGGAGGGATTTCAGTGGGAGGCACCGAACTGCTGAGAAACCCTTCGCATCTTCTCCCTCTTCCTCCCCACCTCCCTCTGATTTGGGGGATGCAGGAGGGAGAAAGCAGCTCGTTGGTATTTTTAAGAGGGGTCTGGGTTGGTTTTGGGGGTGAGTTCAGCAGGGCTTAATCCCCTGGGTAAGAGGAGCTGTAGTGGATCAGAGCAGAGCTGTAAATATCTCCAGAGCCCAGGGTTTTATCTCAAACAGTGGCCAAAATTGGCTGCCTGGAGAACAGGATAAGAATAGAGCAGGAATATCCGATACTTCCCCTGAATATCCTCCCAGAGCTTATCTGTGTTTAGGGATCTGGAAGGAGCTCACGTTCCAGCCCAGAGAAAGGAAGGTTGTTGGATTTATTCCCGAGGAACTGATTAAATCCACAGGATTAGATCCATGGCTGCCTCTGCCCAAGTCCTAACATGGCATTTAAAAAAAAAAATAACCTCAAGGGGTGTGCAGGGACTGTCGGGGCATCCCAGTGTGGACAGGAGGGGTTCCCATGGGATGAGGGGACTCAGCTGGGTCTTGTTCCCAGCAGGATGCTGTGATTGAGGAGGAAGAGATGGATAACACTGTGTACTGTATATGTGTGTCCCTGGCCTGTGGACAGTGGGGTGCCCGGAGCTTTAGTGCCCCGTGTCCCTCTCCCCGTTGTGGCTGCAGACACAGGTGATGCTCAGCAGCAGCAATGGGACCAGAAATCATGGAACTGTGGAATGTTTGGGTGGGAAGGGACCTTAAATCCCATCCAGTCCCACCCCCTGCCATGGGCAAGGACACCTTCCACCATCCCAGGTTGCTCCAAGCCCTGTCCAAGCTGGCCTTGGACACTCTAGAGATGGTGCACAACGTCTCTGTTACTGTCCCCATGTTGGAGCTCCCACACCCCTCTGTCCACGTGTCCATCCACTCTGGGACACGGATCAGCACGTTGGGACAAGGACCAACCCCTATAACCACCCACCCCTGGTGTTGAAAGCACTACAAGGAGCAAAACCAGAGCAGCCTTTGGATCCAGGGAGGGGATCTGGGGGCAGTTCCCCCTTCCAGCATCAGCTTTTCCTTCTCTTTTCCTCCTGGAAGGCTCGGAGCCCAGCGCTGCGTGGAGGCTGCACCAGGATCCCGGGGTTGCGTGCAAAGTATTAATTTTTATTGTTGCAACAACTGCTCCGTTTCTTGGGAGATGCCTGAAAGAGCTGAGAAAATAGAAAGGCCTGTCAGGCTGCCGGGAGGGAGGTGAAGATGTCAAGAGAGTAATTGCTCTACCCAGAAGGAGCCTGTTCCTGGCTTCCCCAGCACTGCCAGGAAAAATCCTCAGCGCTCGTTTGATGGCAATAAAGGAAAAATAGAAAATAAATAGCAACCCCATGGTTTGCCCGTGCTGACGAGGAATGGGGAGAGCAGAGGCAGATGCAAAATAAGATGCAGTTGAGCTTATAAATAGGAGCCTCCCAGCTCCCAGTCTGTTACTTCCTCACCTCCACCCGGGTACTTGATCCTTACGCTTTTCCCACAGAAAAGGTAAATGGAGGAGCAGAAAGTATTTTGTAAATTGCTGGGGAGGGGGTCAGGCTCTTCCTCCTGTGTGGGAGGGGCTGGGGCAGGGAATGAGTCCTGGTGCTGTGGAAAAAATAATCACAGAGTCAGGGAATGGTTTGGGCTGGAAGGGACTTGGAAGCTCATCCTGTTCCACCCCCTGCCACGGGCAGGGACACCTTCCACTAGCCCAGGTTGCTCCAAGCCCCGTCCAACCTGGCCTTGGACACTTCCAGGGATGGGGCAGCCACAGCTTCTCTAGGAATTCCATCCCAGCACCTCACCACCCTCCCAGGGAGGAATTCCTTCCCAATATCCCATCTAACCCTGCCCCCTGCCAGTGGGAAGCCATTCCCTGTGTCCTGTCCCTCCATCCCTTGTCCCCAGTCCCTCTCCAGCTCTCCTGGAGCCCCTTTAGGCCCTGGAAGGGGCTCCAAGGTGTCCCTGGAACCTTCTCTTCTCCAGGGGAACCCCCCCAGCTCTCCCAGCCTGGCTCCAGAGCAAAGGTTCTCCAGCCCTTGGAGCATCCCTGTGGCCTCCTCTGAACTCTCTCCAGCAGCTCCACATCCTTGTGCTGTTGTTCCCAGGGCTGGAGGCAGCTCTGCAGAATCCCCCCTCCCCTGCTGCCCCTGCTGTGGGATCAGCCCAGGGCAGGGGGGGTTTGGGGTCCCAGCACACGTGGCCGGGGCGTGTTGAGCTTCCTGTCCCACCAACCCCCCAAGTTCTTCTCCTCAGACTTAGTGCAGGACCTACCCAAACATTGTGCTGGCCCAGCTGGGTGCTGGCAGCCTGTGGAGGCAGCACTTCAGGGGGTTTGGGAAGAC